GAGGAATCCATTGTGGCATTGGGGAAGTCCTTGGGGTTGGAGGTTAGTGGGGAGGATGTGGAAGAGTTGGTGGAGGAGGACAATGAAGAACTAACCACTGATGAGCTGCTAGATCATCTTCATCAGCAAGAGGCCAGACCTGAAGAAACTGCTTCGGAGGAGGGGATAGAGAAATTGATGACGTTGCCTACTTCTAAGAATAAGGAAATCTGTGCAATGTGGCTTAAAGTGCAAACCTTTATGGATGAAAATCACCCTAACACAGCTACTGCAAGCCGTGTTGGCAACCTGTACACTGACAATGCTGTGAAACACTTTACAAATGTCATAAAGGAACGGGAGGTACAGGCCTCTATAGACAGATATGTTGTGCGACAGAAGTCCAGTGACTCTGAAGCTGGTCCTAGTGGCATTAAAAGGAACAAGGGAAGTAACCCCGGAAAAAAACTTGCTACCTCAAGTCCTAATGGAAGGGGATTCCCCTTCTAAACACTAAGAAGACCAACAATCTCCCCTCCTCCCATCCCATCGATCATCACCAGATCTTCAATAAAGGTAAGTGTCATGTAACTGTGCATGTCTTCTTCAGTTTGTGTGTATTAAAATTAATATTTCATGTGGTAAAATTTTTTTTTTTCAATACTTTGGGATGTCAGGAACGGATTAATTTGATTTCCATTATTTCTTATGGGGAAAATTAACTCGACTAACGATAATTTCGATTAACGATGAGCACTCAGGAACGGATTAATACCGCTGGTCGAGGGTCCACTGTATTGTACATATCGCAGAATCACTGAATCACTGAAGAAGGCACATTCTCCCTCTCTCTTCCTCCTCCACTTTGGAACTTTGCTACGAGTTTTTTCTCGAATTCTATTGTGTTTCTTACATTCTTTATCAATACGCTGGCACTAGCAGCTTTCTTTGGGCCCATGGTGGCTTATTTAGCAGTCACACAGAATAAACAAATGCAAAAAACAATGTATTACGAAATGTTTCCTATGGCCTCTCAGGATAATGTTCACTCACCGAGAAACAAAGTGGTACTGCCTCAGAATGCATGTACTCACCTATTTGTACTCATCTATTTGTGGTTGCAGGGGTCGAGTCATAGCTCCTGGCCCCACCTCTTTGCTGATTGCTACTAGGTCCTCTCTCTCCCTGCCCCATGAGCTTTATCATACCTCACCTTAGAACTATGTATGGTTCCCGCCTCCACTACGTCACTTTCTAGGCTATTCCACGGTCTGACTACTCTATGACTGAAGAAATACTCCCTAACATCCCTTTGATTCATCTGAGTCTTCAACTTCCAATTGTGACCTCTTGTGTCTGTGTCCCTTCTCTGGAACATCCCGTCTTTGTCCATCTTGTCTATTCCGTGCAGTATTTTGTATGTCATTATCATGTCTCCCCTGACCCTCCTGTCCTCCAGTGTCGTCAGGCTGATTTCCCTCAACCTTTCTTCGTAGAACAATCCCCGTAGCTCTGGGACTAGTCTTGCTGCAAACCTTTGCACTTTCTCTAATTTCTTGATGTGCTTGACTAGATGTGGATTCCAAACTGGTGCTGCATACTCCAGTATGGGCCTGACGTAAATGGTATACAGAGTCTTGAACGAATCCTTACTGAGGTATCGGAACGCTATCCGTAGGTTTGCCAGGCACCCGTATGCTGCAGCAGTTATCTGATTGATGTGCGCCTCAGGAGATATGCTCAGTGTTATACTCACCCCCAGATCTTTTTCCTTGAGTGAGGTTTGCAGTCTTTGGCCATCTAAACTATATTGTGTCTGCGGTCTTCTTTGCCCTTCCCCAATCTTCATGACTTTGCATTTGGCAGGGTTAAACTCAAGGAGCCAGTTGCTGGACCAGGCTTGTAGCCTGTCCAGGTCTCTTTGTAGTCCTGCCTGATCCTCATCCGATTTGATTCTTCTCATTAACTTCACATCATCTGCAAACAAGGACACTTCTGAGTCTATCCCTTCCTTTATGTCGTTCACATATACCAAGAACAGCACAGGTCCTAGGACTGACCCCTGTGGAAGCCCGCTTGTCACAGGTGCCCACTCTGACACCTCGTCACGTACCATGATTCGTTGTTGCCTCCCTGTCAGGTATTCTCTGATCCAATGCAGTGCCTTTCCTGTTATGTGTGCCTAATCCTCTAGCTTTTGCAGTAACCTCTTGTGAGGAACTGTGTCGAAGGCCTTCTTGCAGTCCAAAAAAATGCAGTCGATCCACCTCTCTCTCTCTCTCTCTCTCTTGTCTTACTTCTGTCACTTTGTCATAAAACTCTAGTAGGTTTGTGACACAGGATTTTCCTTCCCTGAAACCGTGCTGGTTGTCAATTATACACTTGTTTCTTTCCAGGTGCTCCACCACTCTCCTCCTGATGAGCTTCTTCATGACCTAGCATACTATACACGTTAGTGATACAGGTCTGTAGTTTAGTGCCTCATGTCTGTCTCCCTTTTTAAAAATTGGGACTACATTTGCCATCTTCCATACCTCGGGGAGTTGCCCAGTTTCAAATGATGTGTTGAAGATCTTTGTTAATGGCACACACAATATCTCTGCTCCCTCTTTAAGGACCCACGGAGAGATGTTGTCTGGTCCCACCGCCTTTGAGATATCAAGTTCGCATAGCAGCTTCTTCACCTCCTCCTTGGTGATATGTACCTCATCCAGCACTTGCTGGTGTACCCCCCTGTTCTGATTTCCTGGAGTCCTACTGGTTTCCACTGTAAATACTTCTTTAAATCTCGTGTTGAGCTCCTGACATACCTCTCGGTCGTTTCTTGTGAATTCCCCATCACCCTACCTCAGACTGATTACCTGGCCCATGACTGTTGTTTTCCTCCTGATGTGGCTGTGCAACAGCTTCGGGTCAGACTTCACTTTCGATGCTATGTCATTTTCATACTGTCGCTGAGCCTCCCTTCTTATCTGTGCATATTCGTTTCTGGCTCTTCAGCTAATCTCTTTATTTTCCTGAGTTCTCTGTCCTGGGAGGCTTTGTGTGCATGCGGCACTCAGATGTACCATACCACCGACGAGAACGGAGGAAAGCAATGAAATGGAGCCAATATTTTCAGTGTACCACCGACGAGAATGGAGGAAAGCAACAATAACAGAGCCAATAACTTTACAGAAAAAATCGACGATAACGGAAATGAGCGAAAACAGAGCCCAACAGAAAGGGAGGGTCCACTGTAATAGAATTTTTGGTAAGTCAAACACCCCCCTCTTCCCTATTAGTCCATTTTATCAAACCTTTACTGTACCATTGATAATGTAATGATATATAAATATTAATTAAAAAGAGGAACAGTACAGTATAAAATACAGTACATTACAGAGGTGTATCTGTGGCAACTAGAGTGAGTCAGTCATTCTCACTGCTCCTTTGTTCTTATTTAGAACAACAGAAGAGCAATAAAGTTGTATATGAATGAGAGAGAGTAGGACCTGCAGGATATGGGCCAGTCAGCCTTTGTCATGCAGGTTCAGTAGGCCATTTTAATTTTTAAAGGCAGTGATACAGAACTAGACATGTATGTGAGTGGGAATAATTAGGAAATGAAAGACTTGCTAAAATTCCTGTAAGTCTGTAAGTTTATTTGGGTATACACAGATATAGTTATATAGATTATCATACATAGCAGAATATGTGTAGAGAACCTAGGATAACCCAAAAAAAAGTCAGTCAAAGTGACTTATTTCCATTGGGATTCTTTATTTCCATCATTATATCAATATAAATCCATTTAGAGTTCTTCGCCAGACTTAAGAAGAAAAACTCTCCAGACATGCATCAAATGAACATAAATAAAGTTTAAATGTTTGTTGTAAAACTATCCATGAAAACAATAGGTATAATTCACCATAAGAAAACTCTAAATGCTAAATTTATAGTTCCTGAGCAATGTCTACCAAACATATGAGAGCTCTATATACAGTGGAACTCCGGATTTCGTATGTACCAAATATCATATGTTTCAGATTTAGACCACTTTTTGGTGTGAAATTTTGGTCCGGATTTCTTACCTTTTCTACCTTCTTACCTCCTCCACATGTGCAACATCTGGGTATCTTTACTGTAGATGTTTTGCCATCCAGTGGCTTTATCAATACAAATTCTAGGACATAATTTGAAGACAGTAGAACTATATACAAAGGATGAGGTAATCATTCCCTCAGCCTTGGAGTTGGTGTGGAGAGCACCGTGGTCGTGGAGATTCTGGAGCAAAGGCAAGGAGGTCGGCGCTTATGTACTAATGCCAGGTAGAAAGGGATGTGTAGCAGATGAGGGCATAGTCACTGGTAGGTGGGGTTTCCCAGTGGAAGTAGGTCAGACCCAAAGAGATGGGTTAATTGTAGTAGTAGGTTATGTACATGTCCTCAGAAGCAAGATTCCATGATGCTGCAGTGTTTGACAAGTTGTACAAGAATGTTATGTAATACTGTACTAGGTGTACACTAGTGTACTAGGTGTACGCTACTGTACCAGGTGTACACTACTATACTAGGTATACATTAGAGTATTAGGTCTACACTACTGTACTAGGAGTACACTACTGTACTAGGTGTACACCATTGTACCTGCAGTAGACTAGAGTACTAGGTGTACACTACTGTACTAGGAGTACGCTAAAGCACTAGGTGTACACTACTGTACTAGGTGTACACTACTGTACAGGGAGTACACTAGAGTACTTCAGTACTTTTTCTGCTATTATTCCTCAACATTATTTTGATATAATGGACACCTGGAGTATCCGTCTTATAGTCTATTTTAATGAGAGTAAACAAACCCTCAAAATACCAGTCTATTAGTCTATTTTAATGAGAGTAAACAAACCCTCAAAATACCAGTCTATTAGTCTATTTTAATGAGAGTAAACAAATCCTTAAAATACCAGTGTTGACATGAAGATGAGAGTTATATTAGGAAGAATATAAGTATGTACTGACATGTCAGTCATTTACACTTACCTTTGAATAGTTCATTATCCTCTGAACTGATGTGAATCTTGCTTCAGTTTCCGAGCTGAGTCTTACAGTGTACTGGAAGATACCACTGAGTTGTGCAGAGTAAGCCAGAGCGAGACCAGCGAATGATGCTTCCACTGAACCTCGTAACAGCAAGGTTAACACTGCAGTACATGATGTTACCAACACTGTAAGAGCAAGGTTAATACTGCAGTGCATGATCTTACCAACACTGTAAGAGCAAGGTTAACACTGCAGTACATGATGTTACGAACATTGTAACATCAAAGTTAATACAGTGGACCCCCGGTTCGCGATGCCATCGGTATCCGATAAATCCGGTATGCGATGCATTATATCGCAAAAATTTTGCCTCAGTTCCCGTTAAAAAACCCGGTATACAATTCGTCCGAGATGTGTCCACGTGTGTGCCAGTGTTTACAAGCCAGCCAGTGTGCTCGCATCTAAGGATACATTCAGTACATTCCATATTATCACAGTGTTTTTGGTGCTTGTTTCTGCAAAATAAGTCACCATGGGCCCCAAGAAAGCTTCTAGTGCCAACCCTTCGAGAAAAAGGGTGCTAATGACTATTGAAATGAAGAAAGAGATAATTGCAAAGTACGAAAGTGGAGTGCGTGTGTCGGAGCTGGCCAGGTTGTATACAAAACCCCAATCAACCATCTCTACTATAATGACCAGAAAAATGGCAATCAAGGAAGCTGTTGTTGCAAAAGGTGCAACTGTGATTACAAAACAGCGACTGCAAGTGTTAGATGTTGAGAGGCTGTTATTGGTGTGGATAAATGAAAAACAGATAGCAGGAGACAGCATCTCTCAAGCGATCATTTGTGAAAAGGCTAGGCAGTTGCATGACGATTTGGTAAAGAAATTGCCTGCAACTAGTGGTGATGTGAGTGAATTTAAGGCCAGCAAAGGTTGGTTTGAAAGATTTAAGAATCGTAGTGGCATACATAGTGTGATTAGGCATGGTGAGGCTGCCAGTGACTCTCAAGCTGGTCCTAGTGGCATTAAAAGAAGAAGGGAAGTAACCCCGGAAAAGGACTTGCTACCCCAAGTCCTATTGGAAGGGGATTCCCCTTCTAAACATTAACAACTTCGACACTCTCCCCTCCTCCCAACCCATCAATCATCACCAGATCTTCATTAAAGGTAAGTGTCATGTAATCTATTGTTAGTAGAGTACTACAAACTGTGCATGTCTTCTTCAGTTTGTGTGCATTAAACTTAATATTTCATGTGGTAAAAAAAAAAAATTTCATACTTTTGGGTGTCTTGCACGGATTAATTTGATTTCCATTATTTATTATGGGGAAAATTGATTCGCTTTCCGATATTTTTGGTTTACAATGAGCTCTCAGGAACGGATTAATACCGCAAACCAGGGGTCCACTGTACTGCAGTACATGATGTTACCAACACTAAGAGCAAAGTTAATACTGCAGTGCATGATGTTACCAACACTGTAAGAGCAAAGTTAATACTGCAGTGCATGATGTTACCAACACTGTAAGAGCAAAGTTAACACTGCAGTACATGATGTTACCAACACTGTAACAGCAAGGTTAATACTGCAGTACACGATGTTACAACACTGTAACAACAAAGTTAATACTGCAGTACATGATGTTACAACACTGTAACAGCAAGGTTAACACTGTAGTATATGTTAACATCACTGTAAGAGCAAGATTAACACTGCAGTGCATGTTAACAACACTGAAAGAGCAAGATTAACACTGATGTGCATGTTAACAACAATGTAAGAGCAAGGTTAACACTGTAACAGTGTTAACATTGTAACAGCAAAGTTAACACTGCAGTACATGATGTTACAAACACTGTAACAGCAAAGTTAACACTGCAGTACATGATGTTACCAACACTGTAACAGCAAGGTTAATACTGCAGTACATGATGTTACAACACTGTAACAACAAAGTTAATACTGCAGTACATGATGTTACAACACTGTAACAGCAAGGTTAATACTGCAGTATATGTTAACATCACTGTAAGAGCAAGATTAACACTGATGTGCATGTTAACAACAATGTAAGAGCAAGGTTAACACTGCAGTGCATGTTAACAACAATGTAAGAGCAAGGTTAACACTGCAGTGCATGTTAACAACAATGTAAGAGCAAGATTCACACTGCAGTACATGATGTTACCAACACTGTAATCGAAATGAACTGAAATCGTAATGACACAATTGCAAACAAACCATACCACAGGCGGGGTTTGAAGCCACGATCAGAGAGTCTTAGTTGGATGAATCTTATTGTGGCTAGCTGGCCCAGTGGCTAACATGTCGGTCTAGAGTTTTAAGACTCTCTGATTGCGGGTTCTAACCCTGCCAGTGGTATGGTTTATATGAACCACAGCCCAGCTGATCCAGTACTAAGTATCTGTCCAGCTCCCTTATGAAGGCAGCCAGGGATCTATTGGTAATTCCCCTACTTTTCACCGGGTGTACTTTGCACCGCCTTCCCAGTGTTTTGCTTTCATAGAAAGTGATTTCTGTGCAGAGTCGAGACCATTCCTTCTAGGATTTTCGAAGTGTAGATTATGATATCTCTCTTGCCTGCGTTCCAGCGAGTACATGTCAAGTGCATCCAAGTGTTCCAAGTAGCTAAGGTGTTTGATGGAACTTATGTGTGCAGTAAAAGTTCTCTGTCATCTTTGACCCTGTCATGAAAGAATACCTCACTCATGTGGAAAGTCATCCTGGATCCACATCTTACCTTTCACTCAGTGTCCAGAATGCATTCATCCACATGATGGCATCCACTGTGTACCAGAGTTTACTGAGAAGCATTCGTTAAGTTGAGTACTAAGGTCTCAAATTTGATTTGACTCCTCATCATGTAAATTGTGAGCAGATGTCAGAAGTAGTGATGTGGAAATTAGCCCTTAAACTGTCCAAATGTAGATCTACGTTCACTCGCATGGCGCTCCAAATATTTTGAAAACTAAAAAAATTATTTTTTCTTTTAAAATGAAGAGCACATTTTTCTACATGTTATAGGAATAAAAAAAAAAATTAGGGTTAGTACTTACCGAGATATAAGACCGTGAAGTTGGCTCTAGGTGTTCACCTGTCAGCAACATTGACTCCTGCTGCTTGCAGAAGTGTTGCCAATATACCTTTTTTTCTCATTTTTATTTTAATTTATATATTTTTTATGTTCTGATAATTACAATTTATAACAGTTCTTGTAATTTCATAGCCACTCTTTGTTCTGACACTAATATTAGGTACTGAAATAGTGCTCAAATAATCACAATCACATTGACAGGTGAACATTTACACCTGCCTGGGTTATTTACTATTGTTTAGAAATATATGCAAAGTATTTATAGGTCCCAGCAATGTTTTAGATACCCTGGCATATACCTTGAAGCATGGTGTTATGAAAGGCACCCCTATACTGTTGACAGCCTAGTGACATCACTGGTGACATCACTGGTGTCATCACTGTGCTGGTCTCTAGTGCTGGTACTGAACCATCCAGTAAGGTCATCACTGTGCTGGTCTCTGGTGCTGGCACTGAACCAACCAGTAAGGTCATCAATGTGCTGATCTCTGGTGCTGGCACTGAACCCTCCAGTATATGCCTCAGGTACGATAACTGCCAAAATAAAGTTTAAGATTCCTGCCTCACTGTCATCAGAGCTTACAACTATAAGATGGTTGACACTGATGAAGGTAAAATGCCTGTTTTTACAAGTCTCCAGTCAGGCTCACAAGATGGTATATGAGGTTGTCAGTTTATGTTCTGAACCTCACTGTCTGCAACTCATAGCTCCACAAAGACAAGGATTTCAAGTCCTTCCAAGAAAAAAAACTTGTCCCTGGAACAGTCCAGGGGTCAAGTAGCAATTTGTGCATGTCAACAGTAGCAACTCAAGCCATACACCTTATTACCAGCAGTGGCATCTCCACAGCCAATGAAAGAAAATGCCAGTGCCACTACAGTGGACCCCCGAGTTTCGTGAGTAATCCATTCCAGAGAGTCTGCTGAATGACGAAAGTGCCAAATGGCGAAACCATTTTCCCCATAAGAAATAATAGAAATAAAATTAATCCATGCCAGGCACCCAAATATATTAAAACAATTTTTTTTTTTTCAAATTAAATAAAGATTTACACACTGAAATCAAGTACATACATATATAAAATAATAATAACATTACACTTACCTTTACTGAAGACTTCTGGGTGGATGGAAGATGGGAGGAGGGGATAGGAGGAAGGAGTACACTATTGTTTGGAACATAAGAACATATGAAAGAAGGAACACTGCAACAGGCCTACTGACCCATGCGGAGCAGGTCCATGTCCCCCCACCCCGGATTAGCCCAATGACCCACCTAGTCTGGTCACTTCCACTCAAGGAAGGAGCATGGCACCAGACCCAGCACCAAAAGCTAGTCAGGTCCAACTCACACCAACCCACACCCACTCATGTATTTATCTAACCTATTTCTAAAACTACACAATGTTTTAGCCTCAATAACTGTACTTGGGAGTTTCTTCCACTCATCCACAACTCTATTACCAAACCAGTGCTTTCCTATATCCTTCCTGAATCTAAATTTTTCCAACTTGAAACCATTGCTGCAAGTCCTGTCTTGGCTGGAAATTTTCAGCACACTATTTACATCCCCTTTATTTATTCCTGTTTTCCATTTATACACCTTGATCATTATTTTCATTTTTTTTTATTAACACACTGGCTGATTCCCACCAAGGCAGGGTGGCCCGAAAAAGAAAAGCTTTCACCATCATTCACCCAAAACATTCTTAATCATGTACTAGCCTCGTGTCAGGACCTGGGGTTGATAATCTCTACTGATAAAACAAAGATACTCAATAGGTGTACTCCTCGACAGAGAGGCACAGTTCGTCAGATCCAGTTGCATGATGGGTCTCTTCTAGAATATGTAAACAGATACAGGTATCTAGGCTTTGAGGTTCCACTACTTGGACCTGTTGTAACAAGACTTTGTCGCCAATACAAAGAAAGACTAAGAGCACTTAGAGTTGTGGCTGGGTTTCACCCCAGGTATGGTGCTAATGTTAAAATTGTGAAAATGATGTATCTTGCTTATATTAGATCATTGGTTGATTATGCTGCGCCACTACTTGCTCTTGTGTCTG